GGAACATTGGAGAGAAGAATGGAATCCTCACATTTTACTATGCATTACTGTTAATGGACTGCAAAGCACAATTCACACCCATGTAATATGCCTTCAATCTGAGAGTAAACATCTCCTGACTACAAAGATTCATAAATAAGTTAGAAGTAAGAGGCAGAGAGAAATAATGTAGACAAGATTTAGCCACTTTTGAAAATCTTTTGGCTAGATTTCATGTGTGAATGTTCTACTCATTGATTACAATACAATTCCTTTCAGATAGCTAGTTTGATAATTTCAAACACTGGAACACAAGCTCTCAAACTATAGCTCCAAAATATATGCTTCCATTGTTTCCCCTTCTTATGGACCGATTAAAGCTTATTATACATATTTTTCTGGAGTGATGATATAGAGGGTTTGCCATGAATACATGAAAGTGCTATTATAATTCAAAATTTAGGTTAATTAATGAGAGTTTTTCAAAGCCTTTAATTCTTTTGAAAGTAGGCCAAAATTACAGTGCAAGTCGTTCACCAACTTGACAACCATTTTTATGAATTAGCAGGCTTGACATATTTTCCCCTGCCTCCAATGGCATTTTGTACTCCTTAAGCCCTTGATTTTTGCCTCAGAACTTCTAGAAGATCTGTAGCTAAGAGCAGTCGGTGGAGGATAATTCCAGCCATCAGCAGGCTCAGGAAAGAAAACCAAGGAGAAAAGAGTAGGAATAAAATGATGATGCTTACCAAGATTGACAAAACAGAGTGGGCCCCCCAAATCAATTGTACTTCGATGTTCACAGTATATTTGTAGAAAGATTACAAGTTTTAATCTGGCACAGATAAATGAGTATGGACTTTTCAAAAATACCGTGATGTACAATCACATCTGCCATGTATATGGAAAACCACTGTTGAAGTGCGTTGGTAGATTCTTTCAAAGTTTTGGCAATCTGATGTGTATCTAATTTAAATGATCATGTCTGCTCATTAGTGAGATTTTTCATATTGTAGAAAAACATGAGTTTTCTTTTCAATGAATTTATGGTTTATATCCTTGGCCTATTTTTGACATTTAAAAAATTCATTGAAGCTACTTGTATATTAGTGATAAGATCTACCAATTAACTTTGGTTTTGGGGTCCTTTTTTAAGCTTATTGACTTACTGAAATCAAGTATGAGGTGAAGACTTGCTGGGCCATAGGGTATGTTTTACCAGGTAAAACCAAATGGTATCCAAAGAGTATTCAGATCTACCTGTAGATACTCAATGGGTCATTTCACATATTCACTAGCATTTGATTATATCAGACTAATTTTTTTTGCCTGCTAGTAGATATAAAGAGGTATCTTGTCTGACTTATTTCACACTTTTCTGATTATTAATGCAGTTGACCACCTTTTCATAAATAGTATGGTAATTTGCTTTTTAGTTTTCTGCTAAGTGCTGTTCAGGATATTACATCTTTTCCTTCTCATTAGCTATCTTCTTATTGTGATTTATAGGAGTTATAATATAATATAGATACTAATTCTTAGTTATATGAGCAGTAAATATCTTCTCCAAGTTTGTGGGATTCTTTATTGTATCTTTTGAAAAAGAGATTTTAAAAAAAATTTTAGTATCAATTGATTTTATTATTCTCTTTCTTAAGTTTTATGCTTTTTGTGTTTTAAGATAGCTTCCTTACCCTAAGGGCGCAAAATATACCCCCATATAGTCTTTTAAAAGTTTTAAAGTTTTTGTATTATCCAGTTAAGTCTTAAATCTACTTGGAATGGATTTTTCAGATCATATGAAATGAAGGGAAATTTATTATAATTTTTAAACTATGTATAACCAATTTTCCCAAGACAATCCATTAAAAACTTTATTATTGCTCTGCTGATCTACCCATGAACTTGTCATATATATACATATGCAATATATATGTGCAATATACATACATAATATATATAATCTGCTTCTAAATTTTTATTCTGTGCCTTAGTCTATTTGTACTTCTCTATAGAAATAATATACAAAATTGTTTCTATCACTTTTTAAATAATTCCAGGCATCAAATAAGCCAAGATCATCCACCTTACTCTGAAGAGATTTTTTAAAATTTTGGCCTTTTGTTCTTTCTTATAAATTTTAGAATCATCTTGTCAAGTTCCATTAATGTCCACTGAACTGACTTTTTAGATCAGTATGGACAGAAATGACATTCTTTTTTACCACTCAATTTTTCAAAAAGACAAAAGAATTTTACAATGAACAAACATTTATCTGCCACCTGGATTTTACAATTCCAATTTTTATAAATGTGCTTTATTATATAGCTATCCCTCTATTCATCCAGTACTTCATTAATTTCTAATTATATTTCAAAATATGTTATTAGACAGTTCACCTTACCAAGATGAAGATATTCAATTTTATATATTTATTTTACATCTAAGCACTTAATCTTTTAAATAAACACCCACACTTTGTTCAAATAAACACTTGTTGCTTCTGTTCAAAATTTATACAGATTAATTTTATGCAATTAGAATATTCTCAAAATGGTAAAAACAGTGATGACAGTTGGTTTATGCCTAATTTTTGAGCCAATGATTTAAGATTCAATATTTAACAGGGACTTTCTGTGGTTGCTCTCTGGTAACTAACCAATCATATTTACATAATTTCCTTCTAATCTATAATTTTTACTTATGTTTTTCCTGGAAATATCTGATGAAATACATTCAATGCTCCTCAACTTCTATAAATATTATAATATTTTATGTCATTTCCTTTGCTGATATGATGATCTACATTGTTAGATGTTCTTATTTTTAATTTGGGTTTTATTAAGGTAACATTGGTTTGAACACCTTATATTATTCAGAAATATAGTATGCCAACTCTTCAGGAGTATGTTATTTCTAATGTTCAACTATCCTCACATTTTAAGAATTAATTCTACCTAATTATGAAATAAAACTTAATTTGTACTCTTAGATTGAATTTACTTGGGAACATATTTTAAATGAATCTACATGCAGAAGATTTTCTTCCTATGTTCAAACTTTACTAGTTTTTAACACTTTAGCTTCATAAAGTGAATGAGAAATATCCTACCTGGAATAACTAACATAAAGTAGAGTCTAATTTTTAAGAGTTGGCAGAATAGAATTATAAAACCACTTTAGCCAAGTGCCTTTCTAAATAGAAGCTACAGCAGTAGATTTCATATCTGTGATTACTGGTTTCTTCTTAGACCAATTTGAGTTATATCCTGGTAGGAAATTCTCTAATTTATTTAGATTTTCAAATCTACTACCATAAAGTTTTCATAATATTTTTTTAAAAAAATAGTTGTTTTGACCCCTGTATCTTCTTTTTTAATTCTAATGTTGTGTTGTTCTTATTCTTTATTTTTTAATGCATCCTTCCGATGGGCTATTCACTTTTACCTGGAATTATTTGTACACTTTACTGTAATTTTTTTGTAGGGGAGAGTTCGGAATAGGCTTTCACGTCAATAAAAATTCATTAAATTGAGTTTCCTGTTCTCTCTGCTTTCTGTTCTTTGGTTGTTCTTTTCCTATTACTTAGAATATTTATTTTATTTGCCTTCAGCATTTATTTTTAACAATAAAAGCATTTTAATTTATACATGTTCCTCTGAGTACGGTATGCTCTGGTTACCAATTCAACTTCTGGAAATTTGTTCTACAGAAATAAAAGCTTCATAATATAAAACTGAAGCACAAGGAAGCTCATATTTTTTCACAGTGTTAAGCAAACAAGCAAATAAACAACAACAAAAACTTCCAGGACACAGACAAAATGTCCATCAATTATTTAATGGTTGCTTCAGCTATATTATAGACTCACTGCAGAAAATTATCTTCTCATTTAAATTTGTATATATTGCCCCAGAGATGTCCATAAAATATTATGTGTAAAATAGAATTGCAGAGGGCCTCCCCAGTGGTGCAGCGGTTGAGTGCTGGGTTGCGAAGCTGCCCACAGCCTTTGCAGTGTCGGTTCGATCCCCGGCTGCTCCCCAGCCACCGGCGGAGGGTCCCGCATGGCGCGCAGACCTCTCCTGCCGCCCGCTGCTCCCCTCAGCAGTGTGTTTCGTCAGTCTGGCTGTTCTGCTCCCCGCTCTGGCTCTGGTGAATTCTCTCACCCTCCAGCGCTTCTGACTGTACCCAGTGCTTGCATAAATAAATAAATAAATCTTTTAAAAAAAAAAAAAACCCAGAATTGCAGAATAATGTGATTGATATCATTCATTTTTGTGGGGCAAAAATGTTACATAAAAAACACATACACACCAAAAAGCATTTGTGTTTATATGTATGCCTTTAAGATGTGAAAGATAATATAACCAAATGTATTTGTTTACTTTAAATGAACATGTCAGATGGGGTATGGGAATGAACTTATACTTAACATATCACTGAACTAGCTTAAACACAGACTGACAATGTCTATAAACTAAAACATACAATCAGATAAACGGAAACCTATGAACACTTCTATGAAATTCTGATATTAATTCTAAGAGTCTACTTTCATATTTAATTTACTAATCTCCCTGCATTACCATAGCTTCTCTACACATCCTTTTGTAATATAAATCATTATTGTTAAAGTTTCTTCTCAATAAAAGACAAGAAAATGGTTAAGACCGATATAGTGTTCATTTTCACACTATGTTTCTACGTAACTACATTAGTGTTTACTGAAATTCTGGGTTGTTAGACTATGAAATCTCTAGACGTCCTCCTGAAGAATTTCCTTTGATACCAAACTTGAGGAGAGTTGAAGTAGTAAAATAATAACCAAATAGGAAAAGAGAAAAATAATAAAATTAATTAGCAGGGGGTGTCTCTTAGCCCATAACAGAAAAGGAAAGCAATATTGATTATTAGCAACCAACTATGATTATTACAAAAAAGCCATTATTATTTTGCACAAATAGAAGTGTTAATGAAGTCAGACAAAACAAAAAAGGAGCCTACAAATTAAACAATACCTTTTTCTTGTAATATTTTCTTGGTGGTAGCTTGATGGTGGCAAGGAGATTCTTCCATTTCTTGATCAGATTTTGAAGAAGAGAGTGAAGTATCTCCCAACGTAGAGGAGGAAGGCTCCCTTTCCGGGTGCAGGGGTCCTCCTTGAAATTCAGTGGCGAGGTCATGTGAGAAGGGCACACTGCTAGCCACTGGGGTGAGGGATGGAGCACCAGAATCTGATTCTGGAGAAGATGTTCTCAAACCCTTGGGCAGAAGTGATTTGGTAACATGCATGTGGTTATAAAAACTGTCTGAAGGCTGTTGGTATAAGAGATCATAAAGGAGGTTATGCACTCAGCTTCAGTTCCATCTAATACTCATTTTGAAATCAGACTGACCTGTTTTAAGGGAATCCCCAAGAAAACCAATTTTTGTTTGTTGATTTACAGATGAGACCACATAGTTACAACAATTTACCATATTACCACTGTAGTTAACACAGATACCTAAGACATACAGAAACAATTACTTGTATATTCATACTTCTCTATTAGGTAGAGCCCACAGCTGAATATTAAAAGCACCATCATGAAATCAGACATTATGGCTAATGAGCTTAAGACTAAGTAGAGAAAGAACCAGGATTATAATAACATCTCAAGTGAAGGAAAAATTGAGGACACAGGACGTGAACTGTTCCAGCTGTTTCCAACTATGAATAGAATTTGGCTGCAGGAAAATCATTATCTTCAATAAGCTGTTGGAACGATTATCTAGACCAACACTGCAAACCAGAAAATAGTCAATGGTGCTCACCTTTCGTTCTAGACTGTCCTCTCCATCTGTTGAGCTGACACTATCATACAGTCTTGTCCTAGAGGGCTTCTGACGTCTGTTTTTCACGGAGAGTTGAGCTCGGGTTTTCAGTGCTTTTGAATCTAGGCGTTCTGTCTCTGGAACCGCTTCATTCAAATCTAAGAAACAACAGGACAAAATAATCAGAGAGAAAAGCCTTTGGAGAGCACTGACAAAGAGACCACAGACACTGGGAACAAAATCTCAAGGTCATCAGTAACACCACACAAGAAAACAGCTGGCAACCAAGAAAGGTCCTCTGATGGATAACCTACAAGTAACAGAGAAATCCCTGAGGTTTAGGAGAAAAGTACAATGTCTAAGAGGAAACCAACAGTGAAGGGGAACAAGGCAACAACAAAAATCTAACTTTGAAAGACCATAAGACCTAGCTATAACATATTTATTAAAAGCACTGATTTCTATTTGTTTATTTATGCATAGGCATATGCAGTATTTGATGAACATAAAGAGGAAGATATGTCAGAGTTGGTGATCTTACTAATTTTTTTTAAAAAGATTTATTTTATTTATTTATGCATACAAGAACTGGGATCTAGGCCAGAGGTGAGGGAGTGAGAGGATTCACCAGAGATAGAATGGAGAGCGAACAGGCGGATCTACGAAACACACTGTTGAAGGAGCAACAGCAAGACAGGAGACGTCTGCTATGCCATATGCGGGCTAGCTCTCTGGCTGGGGTTTGAACTCAGATTGTAGCGGCAATAATGTGATAGCAGTGAGACAACCCCTACATCCCAGAGTTGGTGATCTTAACAGCAAAGTACACAAACTTATGAAAAAGTTGCCAGGCCAACCCTAGGTAACAGAAAGTGGCCATCAGCATTCATTTTCTACAGCAAAATTTAATAAGCCGTAAAGTCTCTATCATTTTGGTCTTAATATATATATTTTTTCTAGCCAAAACAGGTTATGACAATCTAGCTCATTCTTCTTTGAACTCTCTAGAATGACCAGTGAAGAATTTAAGCTAACTCAGGAAATAAAAGAAGATCAGGTTACCCAAACAGTTTAACAAACAGAAACAATATAGTATTATGGGTGGGTAGCATATATATCCCCCTTTCTTTCATTAACATGTAAGTTTATATTCCAAGTTATGACTATGTGCCTCTGTCTGTCTCACTTCTTTTTTCTGGAGAGCATCTCTTCCCCCCTGGGAACACCACCAATTTTCCAAAGTAAAATGTTTAAGTCTTTTAATAAAAAAAGAGTCAATGAGAAAAGGAGAAGAAAATGAGTAAATTGGAACACAAAGAGAATGAACTGGTAAGGCTTAAGGGAGGGTCAACATGGTGCTCTTTAATCTGCCTCTTGCCACCTTTCATCTTGTTCCCAGATTCCAAGATACCATTCTACAGGGGAAGGAGAAAGGTTACTATTAACACACATAGGTGTTGGCTGAGGAAAAGTGCTCTCTGGATGCTTGTAGTTTTCACTCTTGTGAATGTTGTTACTCCTTATAAACAATGTAGTTCGATCACTAATCCTATTTTATCTTTTCAGAATGGCTGTCATTAAATGAAGTCACAATGCTCAAGGAATTGATAATTAAGTGCTTCTGGATTAAAATTATCAAAGCAAATAACTATTGCAGTCATTTACAAGCACTGATATTAATAGAATAAAATAATTTCTTACAGTAGTATTACCCACAGGAGATTGTTGTTCACAGTACTATTATGAAGATGTGCTCTAAATATAATAGAAAACCAAAACAAGGAAGCATCTCAGTTTGTACTTCTCTTATTTACAGAATTTAACATTTGGCATATGGTTCTAACAAATTAAATGTATTTTACTCTAGGAAATATACCCACTCAATGACTTTAACTTTTCATTTCCTATATTGGAAAGAAAAGTAAATATTCAGAGAGTCAGCCATTCAGATATATAAAAGACAATACTTTCTAATTACTTATACCTTTATTTTTTATGTCAGTGGAGATACCATAATCTCCTTGATCACTTTAACTTCCTTCTTCTAGGAAAATCTAAACTTGCAGCTGCTGATTAAAAGTTCATTACTGGTGATAATTTGTAGAGAATTAACCTTACAAGTTCTTGTTTACATACAAAATGTGGAAATACCACACAGATGAAAGTAAGTCAACTGTCATACCTGCAGGTCTCACAGCTTATCTACCTTCTATTTAGATTGAAAATTCTATAACACAAAGCAACTTCATATGCACTATCTCGTGTATTCCTCATGATAGACCAAGAGAAGAATGTGTTGCACAAGTTACTAGAATAAGATTTTAATGTCATTAGAGTTCAGTGTTTACAGTGCTGAAAATCACACATGATGCAACTTTTCAAGGAAACTGACTTTCCAACAGGCTATCCATGAAATACTATCATTAATCTTCCACATGTGTTAAGAGAGCATTACGAAAGGAAGACATGTTGAAAACTATGAAAACATTATTTCTCAAATGATTTCTGGTTAGTTGGTTTAATAATAGTTTTGGCTACATGATGACAAAAAGTCCCAAGGAGGGAAGCTCATTTTACTTTTGTAATCATGACACGTTTTGCAATAGAATCCTGGCCCTGAAGGACCCTGCAAATCACCCAACAAACAGGATTGCAGGAGCTATTCCCTCACTATGTACTGAACAAATAAATTGAGGGATCATAAGAACTGCTTATTACCAAGGTTCAGCGTGTAGGGAATTTAGATTCCTGGCTCCATTACTATTCAGTAATTTACTAGGAACTGGAATCAGACAACCACAAAATGACAATCTGGTATATTTGTTTTAATATCAGCTAGTGCTGATTACATGCAAAGGCTGGAGCGCTCACATGGGCCACACCGATTAATGATGCATTTAGCCTGAGTCTGAAAAGCAGTGCCTTACATGCATTCCATTACTAACAAAATATTGAAAACAAATATCTCTGGTCTTTTTATAGTAGTAACTCATGATTACAAATCAGGAATTCATATTATATCCTGAGGGGGGGAAATCTTTCTTAAGAACAAAAAAAATGGAATGGAGCTGAGAACTTTCGCTCCAACAGCCAAAAGAAAGTTGGAAGACATGCTGTTCAGAAGAAGCAACTAGTACAGACCCAAGTCACATCTCCTGTGGCAGGATTAGAGGAGACGCTTGAAGATACCAGGCGAGTGGGTAAAAGACTATGTGCTCACTGCATGGGAGATTCCCCTGACCACCCTAAGCTACCTTTTCCTATTACATCATTATAAGAATCAGAACAAAACATTCAGAAGACGGTTAGGGATTTATTCACAGACAAGAAAACCAAGCCTCAAGGAAGGTCACTAACTCGGTATTAACTGTACCACAATCAATCTGTGGAGGAGACTGGACAGGTCTCAGTCTTCAGAAACCGATTCCCCCTCCAGAAGGTCGCTCTCAAATCTGAAGGCAAACGTCAAAAGTACTCTTCTGCCTTCTTTGAATCCTTTAAGTTTACTTTATCTTCCATACAAAAATACATGCCATGCACTAACTTTGTAAATTCCCAGAAGTATATACAGCATCAGAATAATAAATAAACCAACAAACCAAACCAGGGGCTTTCACTTGGCTTATCCAAGGAACAAAATTCTTACATAAAAAAATTTAGCTGCCTGTTTTGTGAACAGCAATGTGGCAGGAGAAACACAACCGGCTCAACATTTCTAAGTTAGATGTTACACTAAGTGCCATCACTGTCATTCACTCTCTACAGAGGTTTTAACCAGTAAAGTAACACTGCTTGTATAAACTCCAAACCCATGCTCTCCCGCTACCCCTTCTCTCCAGTGTGTCTTGTTCTGCTGTTTATACAAGTCAGAGAAAAATTGCTTTTCTCTCCTCCATTTTTTCTTTCAGACCTTCTAGCCTCTGACATAGCCTATTTCTGCCTCAAATGCAGCTAGAAATACAAAAGAGCAGACTTGAGAGGATCAATAAGGATAGATAGAAAATACAGAAAAGATATGAAGTAGTAAATGACAGAACAGTTTTGAGTGGGTGGGGACTCTGCCTTACTATACCTGCATTTTAACACTAGCTTCAGGACTGCTTCAGACTGGATCCTTTAAAAGAATTTAATGGATTCGATTATGATTTCAGCAGCTGTTAGGAAAAATGCTCTGTGAAATTAGGATGTTATATATCATATTACACAGAGACTGGTTCCCTAAAGTAATGCTGTGAGTCATTCCATTTTTTCACTAGGTTGACGTTATTTTTGACGTAAATGGAATGCTGCCCACAGATCAGATATAGACAGCAAGGCACTAGGGGCATGGAGCAGCATAACAATGGGGTCTGCTCTGCATTCTTACGTGTATTATTCCCCTCAAAAACAGACATACCTCATGCCATCACAGTGCCTGACTTGTGCTATTAGCAACTGAAATGCTGAGTATAATGAGGCACTTGGTGGCATTTTTAAACTTGAACACTATCTGCATATCATTCACAGTCACTGCAAGTTCATAAAAGATGGGCCCGTGGGGCTTTGGTTTGATACATATTACATTCAGAGATAGGTTTATGTAGCTCAGAGAAGCGTGTCAAATTGTTACCAGGGGAGTAGACCTGGAGTTAGTCTTTCTTGAATAAAATCCAGAACAGTGATTCTGCCACTAAATTGGGCAATTAACTAAGCTCAGAATCCTCATCTGCAAAACGGGCATACTGATCACATAATAATAATAATTACATTGTTTGGGGATTAAATGCATTAATAGTAAGGTATAAAAGAGCTTAGAAGAGTGGTACATAATAAGCACTCAATAAATATCTTTTATTTCTGACATGAAAACGTAGCAAGACATTAAGTAACTAAAGTAAGTTGTAGAACACTGTGTATTCATTTGAACAATTTAAAAAACAGTAACTTGAAATACATACTCTGTTGGTAAATATATGCAGATGCTGGCATAGAAAAAGAACTAAAAAGATAATACTTTGTACTGATAATGTGGTTACCTCTGAAGAAGGTACTAGATTTGGAAACCTGGATCAAAGGGAATTTGAATCTTATTTGTAGTGTCAAAAATTTTTGGTATTTTTTTATAATATAACAAAAAGATATAGTAAGAAGGAATATAAATATTCAGTATATTTTCCTT